TATGTATTATTTTTCTATAGTGTGGGGCAGAAGTGGATTGTTATTATTCTAAATGTTGTGAAAATTTATAGGACCAAGAGGTAGTAAGTGGACACTTGCAAGTTGACTGTGTGCTGTAACTAGTGTTAAGTTCTTATATTAGTGTGTAATAGTTCTTAATGTCTAGTTTCCAATGTGTCAACACTATATTTATACATTATATTCTTTGACAACTGAATAAGTCAGGTCATGAACATTATGGCTAATGTTTAATAAGCTGCTTGGTCTGACCTGCTATTTAACTGGAATATTTAAACCATAAGTATAATAGATTGGTTTTCTTTGGTACCAGTGATTGAACCCAGGGCTGCTTTACTACTAAGCCACATCCCCAGCCCCTTCTGCCCTACTTTTTTTTTTTTTTAAAGTCTGAGACATGAAGTTTCTTAGTGCATCACTAAGATGCAAAAGCTGTTTGTAAACTTGCAATCCTCCTGCCTCAGCCTCTAGAGTCACTGGGATTATAAGCAGGTGCCACTGCACCCAGCACAATGGATTATTTTTTTTATAGCTGATTTGATTTTGGACGGTGTCCTTTTCCAAATTTGGTAAAAAGGTTACAATAGCTTCATAGCTTTGACTTTTTTGTATTTTTAAGAATTAAAGACTTTTATCTGTAAGATAATTTGGTGCTAGAGGCATTATGCACCGTAGCTCTTTAAACAGTTTCTTTTTGGTTTTTACTTTATTCAGGGCAATAATAATTTCCCAGGATTTCCAAAATACTATAAAAATATATACTATAAAATGCTAAAAGTAAACAAATATTTCCTATATCTTACTAAATTAAAGCTGGATATATGTATATACTTCAATAATGTTTAAGAAAATATTTAATAAAATAATGCTTTTCTATGTCAGCTACGTCATAAAAAGCTAAACTTTCTCTAGTAAAGTTGAATAAATATGTATGTGTATATATACGAAGAAACAATTTAAATGTTAATTCCCCAGGACTCAGATTAACTGAGAATAAAGTTAAAACATAGTTTCTTATTCACTCAAGACCAGGGAAAGGGCAGTTCTGAATCGTTTCCTCAGATCTACTGTTAAGAACACAGATAAACTCAATGTGTCTTCTGCACCTAGCTCAGCCTCTTGACCCTTCCTGATTGCAAAATGGCCACAATTCCCTGTATCAC